TTAAATGTCATGAAGCCCTCATTTTGACATCAGAATCGAGCACTCGGCAATAAATCCCTTTTCAGTTTCAAGGGTTTATTAATACAAAACCTATTTCACTTTCCTTTTTTTTTATCAAATTTCATTTTCAAATAATAACCCATCCAATTGCAATATGTGACTGACCACAGGATTGAGTTTATGCCGTCCGAATTAATCTAAAGTAATTTTGGCTATAGTGATGCTACCAGATTAAACCATAGTTGTCGATTCGGACTAGATTTTTTGTACATAACTTAATACTTGGTTCGTTGTTAAAACTTCATCCAAGAGAAACCACGTAATCGAAACAGGTGGAAATATGTTACTGAGAGATTTCACTTCTTTTCCAAGCACGAATGCATTTACTGATTCACATTCATGTTCTTCATTGCCACGCTTTAATTCGTTCGCTGCAATTTCGTCTACAAACTAACATAGATTTAACACAACCTTTCAATATAACACGCTACTTCATCAATGTCTAAATAGGCGATTTCTTTTTCAAAAGCACGCTCATCCCAAAATACCGAATGCGTTAAATCTTCAATCCGATTACAAATATTCCTTGGACGCCGCATTACCGTCTCATTCAACATGGGTTTGGACTCAGCTTTTATAAAAGCGTTGATCAATACGTGCAGCTAAACAGACAAGCCTTTTTTGACCGGAAAAATGGATATGAGAATGTCTATTTAGGCTCTTACGTTGAATTGCTCATCGTCAACGGAAGACTGAATGTATTCTAGTAAATATTTCCGGAACGAATATTTGAAAGATCAAACGATACCCTGGTCCATTGTTTGTAACAGAAGAGCAATTCGGAGTCAACTGTATTAATTAGACATTCAAGAATGCAACGGCTCTGTTATTTCAAGAAGCCTTGCGGTTGATATCAAACAGTCTACTTTGGAAGAACTTATTAATCATCGTACAGCCACATACAGTGAAGCGAACTTCACTGATCGCTGCCAAACCCGTAATGCATACAAGGTTAGTGGTAAAATTTAAGGTGGACAGGGATTGAACCTATTTTGAGGGAGGGAGAAGAAGATGAGCCACTATAATCAACACACAGAGTACGCAATCAAACTCTGCATACAGACAATTTCAAGCATTTTGAATTGATAAGAAACGACAACAAGAACGCCACTGCTGTCGGTTCACTGCCATATCCTTCAATGTCTCCAATCAACCAGTTGTGGAGTCTTTCAGACCCCAATCTGGAAGGCGCGAGACACCTACTCTACCTAATGGGTCTGTGCATTTCTTCATGCCTCGTCTCCACGTCATCTGTTGACCTCCACGTGGTTTCCTCCAGCCCGGATTAGCCACAACCAATAAAGCGCGGTGCGGCAGACGATGGTTGGGCATGCGCAATACGTGTCCTAGCCGGCGAAGTATAGTAATCTGAATCCGGTGTGCTACCAGGTTTATACTTGATAGACTCCCAAACACACAACGGCTTACCTCCACGTTACTAACCCGTTTGCTCGATCCAACGTGAAAACACCGATAATCGAAAACTTCTAGTCGACGGATATCTTCTACTCGCAAATTCAAGGTCTCAAGCCATAAAGCAGGACTGAACGAACGCTAGCACAATATACACGACCTTTCAACTTCAATGAAACGTCGCGTCAGGACTGAACGAACGCTAGCACAATGTACACGATCTTTCAGCTTCAGTAAAACGTCGCGTCTACGGCAAAGGTGTTTCAGTCCTGCGCATGCTGCTCGAGCCTTGGAAATGCGGGCGGTTATCTCTTTTGTTGCGTTACCGTCATTGGTCACGCAACTGCCCAAGTAGGAAAAACAATCCACCACAACTAAATCCTGACCATTAAGTGTCAGAGCGGGAGTAGAGGAATCCCAGTCCTGCAGCATCACTTGGCACTTTGAAGGTGCAAAGCACATACCGAATGTGGCTACTGTGCTTCTCAATCTATCAAGTGCACTTTGCGCGTCCTCCATACATTCGAAGAGACAGACGACGTCATCGCTTCCTCCAAATCGCATAACTTTTCTCTACCTGTCCATTCATTACCTACGTTTTGGAGTTCCCTTAGTGCGCTCTTCAGTATTTCGTCTGCCACGAAATTGAACAATACCGGCGAAAGAGGGCACCCTTGACGAACGCCGCTGCTGATGACGAACAGCCTACTTAGTTCGTTGTAGACCCTTAGACGACCGGNCTTCCTCCAAATCGCATAACTTTTCTCTACCTGTCCATTCATTACCTACGTTTTGGAGTTCCCTTAGTGCGCTCTCCAGTCTTTCGGCTGCTACGAAATTGAACAGGAACGACGAACAACTTATTAATGATAATGTTTCTCCACTCATGCCCGAACAAAGCATTTATGTAATC